TCAGAAGTTGTAAAAAATGCCTACAACAAAGTATGGGTGCTCTCGTTTTTATGTACATAAATCAAGTGATAATGAATTTGCTTTTATTGTAATTTGTAATGCTAAGTTTGCAGTCAGGCAAAACAGCAATCTGTTCCTCTGCAAGATAAAGCACTCCAGTTTTCACATCTCCTTTTTTTTTCAAATGCAAAAATGTATATTTAGATAACAAAATATATACTTTGCACTATAGCCACTGGATAATCTTTTTTACTGAGAAACAAATACTCCATCATTTTTTGCAGAATGTTGGCAGGCAGGGGGGTGTCTGCTACTAGTGTTTCCTTGCTTTCTTGGGCATTGTGAAAAAGATCTTATAGATCAACTTTGGATCCAGATGTTTCTTTTCCCTGATGTGTTGACTCTCCTTTCATATCTGCTGAGTGTAAATCTGGAATAAATCTGCATAAGTCAAAGAAGGAACTGAATATAATTTTTGTATAGAAATGTGCCAAGAGTCTAGCTGAAATTTTTAATATGAACTAAAATTTAAAATATTTGTTTAAATGTCTTTACTATATATGACTGAGAAAACCAGACCATATCAGATTTTCTCCACCCTTTAAAGCCACTTCTAGTTTCATTATGGGGCAACATTTCAGTGGAAAATAGGGTACTGCTGTGGGTGGAAGGTGGGACAAGAGGAAGAAGAAAAAAGGAGCAAAGATCTGGTCAGTGTTAAGAATGCCTCTCTTATTCTTCATTATTGTTGCCTTCAACAAAATGTGCAGTTGTGCAGTTCATTGCTAGCACAGTTTTACTGTCTTAATAATACTTCTGTCTGAACGGGGGTGAAAGAAGGTGAATGCCTACCTCCTCTTCCTTTTATCATCCTGAAGAGTTTTGACAGCAAAAACATAGAGTAGCATCTAGGAATATTTGAAGAGGCTGGGCCAGCATATCTGTTAATCAAGATTAGAAAACTCACACAAAGTAAAATTTTCCCAGCATTCATGGAAAAAACTCTGCTGTCAGCATTTTCTCATGAAAGATGCTTCCTTTTTTTGACCAGCTTTTTCACTTGACCTATCTAATTATATCTAGCTCCACTTTAGGTAAATGAGCTAGTCCAGATGAAAATCAACAAATCTATAATTTATTTCACTCTCATGTTTCCCTGTAGTCGACACCCAGATGAAATCTGCTTCATGACATTACTTCAGATTCAGTCGGATGAGAAATACTTTTTCAAAATTCCTTTTTAAGCCTGATATATCCTAGAATTCAGCAAATGGCCTCACTGTAGAATTTAATTGTAATTTATCATCTTACCAAGCTCTCGTGAAAATGACAGTTCAGGGTCTGAGCAAAATAGTTTGTAAATGTTTAAGACAGCTTTAGCAATATAAGTAAAAAAGCATCTGTATTTTATATTGCTGTCCAATCAATTTGAAGTGGTCTCTTGTTTAGCCCCTGCAAGCTGGATTTGCCCTGTGGACTGTAACTAATGCCCTGTAAGTATCAATACCAGCTCCTAAATGAAATTAAAAGAGATGAGTAGTAACAAAACTATGGAATCCATGGACAGGAATGACCAGTTATTTCAAATTGATTGGTGTCAGTCATGATGATGACTGACATAGTTTATATTATTGTGTAATGAGATATGCAACAGCATAGAAATAAATAAAATTTGGAAATAATATCACTTTTATCTGTGTTGCATATTATCTTATCCACTTCCATTCTCAAAGAACAATCTGAGTTTCAAGAGTGACTTATTTATGGATCACACTACTCGAGGATACTGACAAGTTTGCTGTAGCTGATGCTACATGACAGGAATTTAGCAAGCATGACAGGCAGATGCTATCTTGACAAACTTCTGCAAAAGATTCATAGTCAGAAGTATCAAATAGACATATGTTTTTTAAATATGATTACTCAAAGTATAGCTTTGACTGCTCCACAATGAAGTAAAACAGTTCACGTAGAAATAAACTAAATATACAAGCCAAAAAGTCTCTTAACACGAAGTAGGAAGAGGTTGAAAAATTTTAGTGTGAAGTACTTATGCTTGCATGTATCTTCTTTTTCCCTGATGTCCACTTATGAACATTGCTGGTGGCAGAATACTGGCCTAGATGGAGCTTTAGTGAGAACTGATATGGTTATTTTTGTGTTCTTGGGCAGTTTTGAGGTCTAGCAAATTGACAATGCAATTCTGCCTCTAGTAGATAATAGATTACTGTGCTTTTTTTTCAAATAGAGATTCTCTGTAGGCTCACAGACCACATTGGTGGCCTGCTTAGTTTTCAAAGCACAAGAAATACTTTGACTTAAAAATAATAGAGACAAAAATGGGATAAAGCAGTAGTGCTTAAGAAACTGCAAACTCTATTTACAAAATCAAATAAAAATCATATTTTTATATTTTATAATTTAGTAGTTACCAATAATAAATTGAAGCATTTATAATGGTCTTGTAACATTATTTTTATTATATAAGTTACATTTTATTATTTGTAGAACTATTTTTATGTGAGTTAACACAGTGCTTTCATCTAAAGTTCCACAAAAATAATTTCTGAGTTTTCCATCTTGAATTTTTTTAGTCATAGCTCTATTGCTCTATGTTTTTAATTAGGGAAGTCATATGTTTTATGTTACTTGGCTTGTAAGAATAATAGTTGCTTCCATATTCCCATTAAGCTCTAAAAGATTATCTAACTAATTTATTTACAAGGTTATTTCATTCTATTTCCCTATAAAGGATTAGAGCTGTTTATCTACTCCTCTTCTAAAAGGATATTTTTTTCCCATAGAAGGAAAACAAGAAGACATTTCAAGCTCGATATTTAAGATAGTTCTAATTATCTCTGCTTGTCATAATGAAAAACATTACTGTTAAAATTTAATAACCTTCTACACTATAAATGATCCCTACCAAATACAAAATAATGTTTTCCTCTTTAAAACAAACAAACTGTATCTGTGGAGTTTGCCATATTATTCTGCCTATCCTGATGCCATAATCTTTGCTAGTGTAATTTGACACAGCCTTATCGAGTTAAGCGCATTCACTTCCACTGATGATTTGCTCCTATCCACACATAAAAAAATCACTTCTAACTCGTAAAAAATCCCAATGTAATCCTGAAAGTTTGAGTTGCTCTCTTAGCATCATCACCCTCATCTAGAGGGCAATTTGATCCTATCAATGGCTGTGATATGTGATAAGACATGTCGGACTATTGCAGCCTTTCATCAAGTTGGCAGTAATGAAAAATGGTTCAGTCTAGAAAGTACAGTCAATTCATTGTTCTTGAATATTACAAATACCAAACTTTTGCTACTTGTTGATGAACTCTACCGGTAAGGACAGCTAAGGAGCATGTCTGGTTGAGTTGGGCTGCAGACAAGTTGCATCTAGGAGACTTGCTAGTCATATTTTCATAACTTGTGAGATAAGTGGAGTACCCGAATGTATTCTCAGCAGTAGAGACTGGCATGTTATGGAGGTGCTGTATTGTGCCAGTGACCTTTAGTATGGACATCAGTGAGAGCTCTAACTAGGAATATCTTCATGGTGGAGATTTTTCCAATAAACCTCTTTTGAATAAAATGGTTAAGAAAGATCATATGCTAGTAAAGACAAGGCCATCTCACATGGCAGTTTATGTATTTACAGCCAAACTCTCTTACCCCTTAAAACAGAGGGATTGCATCCAAATTTCCCCTCTGGAATAGTCTTTGACCTGTCTTAGAGGTCAAAGTCAAGGGTTTTTTGAGAGGGTGTTACCAGACCCAGGGCCAGGCAAGTTGACAATTGCCAACATCTAAACAGCGTAAACAACCCCACACCTCTGCCTAAGTCCACATGTTAACCACCTTTATTTTACTAGTAGAAAAGTTTCTCATGCAGCTAGCACAGGAAGAATACCTATTTGAAGATGAAATTTAAAACTTTTAGAGCACTTCTATATTATTATAGTCTTGGTTGCTAAGATAGGAAGTTGCAAGGTTACAGCCCATACTGATTAGCACCCGGCAGCGTGTGGCCCCATGGTCAATGAAACCAAGTGGATCCACTCTGCCTCCAAAACCTGTGAAGGGCCCATCTCTGTATCCAATGTTTTCAGTACTACAATGTCCTTTGGCAACATATCACATAGTATTATATGTATTCCTGTGGAATTGAAAACCTCAGCACATGATTTGCTAACAGTTGCAGGTTAAAGAGGAGGTTATAGGAATGTAGGTAGAATAGGACAGAGATTTCAGAGTCTCAAAGAAAAAAGTTGCATAAGATATACAAAAATCAATTATTTTTTCCATCAACAGAATATTTCACAAGTATTTTGGCTAAAGGTTTCTGCAAGTATTCATTTAAATTTATTCACGGCATGAGAAAGAAGGATAACCTTTGATCTTTTTCATTTTTCTTGCTGAATAAACACTTTTCAGACATTCTTTTGTGCCTCATGCTACTATTAGAGCAAAGAAGCAGCAGTTATCTCCCTGTAAAGACCAGAAGAATAATATTGAGGAACACTTTTGAAAGACTAGAACTTTATTGAAAACAGAATAAAATCAAGTAACTTCTCTTTAATTAAACCCTTTGTGTGCAATTGATAAAACAACTATTACAAGAAGTCAGAGCTTTTAGAATGGACTTCAGCCAATCAGATTGCTAATAAAAATATGAAGTTGATCATCATGCTTAGGAATCTTAATATCTTAGAATAAATTAACATTTGTGGATCCTAGCAATGGGAACTTCATGCCCTTCTGAAAACTGATCTTGCAGAGTTTTGTTATTTCCAAGGCTACTGGGTCTAAACAAAGGCATATCTTATAGTACAAAAATCTCTACTATTCTAGAGACTTCATTTCAACAAATGAAATTTCAGGGGAAGAAAAACATATAGACAAGTAGTAAAGAATAAGAAAAATCATATTGGAAATACTGAAACAAAACTACTGTCAGAACAGAATTCCATTGCAAGAGTAAAAAAAAGGCCCACTGGCCTCAGTGACCTTTAAATAAAAGGCAGTGAAGTCCAAATGTGCCTCCAAATGATGAATACAGGTATCTCCATTCAAAATGAAACTCTACATGGTGCTCTGGCCTGGCTGATACCAATCTCTGAGACTCAAAAGTTTTACTAGTGATGTCATATGGTCCAGATTCAGTCAGCCTAAAACGAGTAGGATTCATCCAGATGCTGAATGAGTTGGCTGATGCAATTTTAAGTCTGTTTTGAATCATCAGTGAAATTTATGATGCACAGAAAAATTACTAATATCTGGGAAAAGGCTAATGTCTGTCTTAAGACCATAGAGGGAACTTGGGATGAATGTGCCTGTCAGCTTTGTTCCTGGAAAGATAGTGGAAAAAGACCCTACTAATTTAATGTCAACATGGATGACAAAGTGGTTAGGGCCAGTCAGTGTGCATCCATCAGGTATAAATAATGTTTGATCAGCTTGATAACCTTCTGTGATGAAATGACCATATATGAAAACAGAGAGAAAGCATAAAGTCATTCTATGTATATGGATGTATCAAAACTTTAATATGGCCTTTGACACTCTCTCCCATAACTTTCTCATTTGGAAGTTGAGGAGTTAGAGACTGGATGGATACAGTGTTGGAGGTGCTGAAAAGTGTGTGAAGCTATTGGGCTCAGAAGACAACAATCTTAACATCCACTTTGTGGCTGGTCAGGAGCACCCCCTCCTCCTTATTACAGCAGCTGATGCCTGCGCTGAAGTTGTTCAGTATCTTCACCATTGGGATGAGGAGTCAAAGTGCATCCTCATCAATGTTGCGGACTTAATAAAGTAAGGGAACAGAATGACATGTCAATCAATAGAGCTTCAATTCACACTTTATTGAGAACTTGAGGACTAGATGAACAGAAACTATATTAAGTTCAAGACAGACAAACACAAGGTTTTTACACTGACCTGTAACTGTGGGCTGATGTTCTGTCCCAGCTTTTGCCTGCTCCTGTCCCCAGAGAGGTGCCTGATGGTCAGGCTGTTCCCGTGCCCCCTGGCTATGCTGCTTCTGCCTGGGGGTGGGACAGTCCCAGACTGCCAGACTCTGTCCTGCCATCACTGCAGATCCCTACAGTCCCCAGCACACGGGGAGTCCCTGGCCTATGTTGCACCCTGGCTGTTTTGCACCGAAGATGGGGTAAGCCCACACGTCAGTCCAGGAGTGCAAACCATGCTGGAAAACAGCAGTGCTTGAGCTGCTACCACACAACCTGCCTACACACGACACTAGAACTGGCTTATCTACTACTGCTATATTTGTCACAGAACTTTCAATAATGTTCCTCCTGAATTTATGTATCAAATCTGAATGAAATGAATGAGAAAATCAGTGCTTTGGTGAAAAAAAGATCTCAGGAAAATTATCCAGGAGGCTACTATGGAAAGTTAAGTCATTATTATTACCTTGTCTATATTCACGCATAGTAACACCTATTCATCTTTTTCTTTAATCAGTCACGATTTGTCATAACTTGATGGTCATGGACACAATTTCCCTTGTTTTATAACGTCTCATACACCTTTTTTCTGCCCCAAAGTCTAATAGTGTTTTTGAGATGGTACACAGTCTTGGCTGTCTACGTCTTAATCTATTCTTTAATATATTATTAGGGTCTCTGTAAGGTTATAGCAGGCTCTAAAATTCACAACTCTCTTATTGTTCAGCTATATTTATATATATATATATTTTTATAAATATATATACATAAAGATCTGCTGAAATCACCATGCTGGTGAGCAAAATGAAATCATCTTCTACCGAACAGATCTGCGTGCCACAGGGAAGTCACTCAGTCACAGACAAAAGGTGATGGGCAGAAATTTCCTATGTGCTGCTTTTAAAAAAGAGCACTTTTTATTTTTTTATTCACTGTGGAAAGCAATTGAGGAGAAGTCTCAGCCCAGCACCCAATGCAAGAGGACCAGTCTTGGCACCAGCTGCTTGTCTGCACGCTGCTGGCACAGCGAGGCGAGCGCAGATTAGGTTTGGTACATGAAGTGCAGCAGACTGAGCGTGGACATGGTGCTGACTGCAGGTCAGCGTCACCACAGTCAGGGTGGGCCACCTGGCAGCCCCTGGTGATGGGAACGCTGAGGGCAGACTACACTGGTAAATGGAAAGGAAGAGATTAATATTCTGCTTTTATTACTTTCAGAAGAAAATATTAGCCTACCTGCAAGAGGTGAAAGACTCTTGCTTTCTAACATGTATTGGTATTACAGGCTGTTAGAGGTTTCTTTCATGATTTGTGAGTAGCAGATGTTATTAAATGGAAACATTAGAAGCAAAGCTAGAAAATTCTTAAAATGCCCCTTTTCTCATTTCACTTTTATTTCAGTGACTGGTTCTTAAAAGCTAACCACAGCACATGCAGAGGCTTTACTGTTCCAGGACATGATGAGAGGAAAGTTATGTTGAAAGGATCGATTAAAGTATTCTGAAAGTCATTTACTTTCACAAAATTATGGGAGGATTTTCAATTTTGGCAACTGGCACAAAGAATTCTTTACTTTTATGTATTTCATCTCAGGAATAGCCCATCTCTGATTTTTCACATGCTTCTAATAGGTCTTTACATAGAAATAAGCAGGGAAGCAAGCTGTGGCTGTGAAACAAATACTTCTCAGTATTTGCAGAAGGGGTTGCCAGAGTCAGGACAATTTAAACTTTTATCATGCTTATTAAAGACTGCAGACTGGCCAGATTATTAATTGCCAGGTGCTACTCATCTCTAGTCTTGGTTTGACTGTTATCAAATCTGAGAGCAGGAGATACTCGCAGCTTACAAACCTAAAATAACTCAAAAGTGTTGGTAAAGATATACTTGCTCTGAAGGTACATAAAGTGCTCTTTGTCAATTTTACTCCACAGTGTGAACTGACATACTGCATGCAGTGCTTGACAGTCCTGTTAAAACTTACTTTAAAAGTAACTAAAAGACTAAGAATTTGGCTGTGTGTTATGTGGGCCACTTCAGCTTTCACAACATAAAAAAAGGAGGCTTCCAGAGGTGTCAGATCAGACCTCTTTATGACAGAGGCAAAGATGATAAAGCATAGCTCCCATTTTAATTTAATATTCCTTTACTCTCTTTACTGGTGACAGGCATGGAATGCTGAGGGCTGGAAGAACAAATAAGTTTGGATGAGAGCTGTGGAAATAAAGATGTTCATAGGGTGATCTCTGACCTGCCAGTCAATCCAATAGGAATGAGAAAAACTGTAAACAAGTCTGAATGATTTCATATTGCATGGACCAAGAAATTGCATGTTTTCTGTATTGCTTTTGAGGGAATTGTTGGAAACTGTTCCTTTATAATCAGTTTGAGTTTTGCCATTGTCTTTAATGTAAATAAGTTTATGTGCCTTGGATCTATTTTGACCTTTCCCAATAATGGCTAAATACAAGTTTTGTAATGAAATTTTAAAATCCTGATTTCCTTGACATCAAGGGAGAAATTTCACTAATCAGGGTAGGACCATGGTTTCACCCAGCTCTCTCTGATCTCTTGTTGATCTCTTCTCCCTCGTAACCTGTGACAGGACTCATGGGAATGGTTAGAAGTTGCAACAGAGGCAGTTCAGACTGGAAATTAGGAAGCATTTCTTTACTGAGAGGGTGCTCAAAAAATGGAACAGCCTTCCTAGAGAGGTGGTCAATGCCTCAAGCCTGTCAGTATTTAAGAGGTATTTGGACAATGCCCTTACTAACATGCTTTAACGTTGGGTCAGTCCTGAATTGGTCAGGGAGTTGTACTAGATGATAACTGTAAGTCACTTCCAACTGAAATAATCTATTCTATAATACAGGAAACATCCAAAAAGTTCCCTTGCATTACATCAACCTGGATTTTTCACTTTACCACCTTATGTTTTGTTACCAGTCTTCACTGACTCCTAGATACAGTGTTGAATGTGTCACAATGTGTAAATGCATGAGCTGGGATGTACATCATGGGTATGTGATTTATTATCAAGTGCAACTGCCATGTGCAACAACCTTACTCAAAACCACATGTCTCTGATAAATCATTTTATCCTATAATCAGTTGAGGCTCTCTTATACTGAAGATGAAAGGCAGCACAAATTCCTGATTTTGTTGTTGTTGTTTGAGCTGCATTATTTCAGGTAGCATGTATCAGATACTGCATGATATAGCCTGAAATGATATAATGCAACATTCCCAAATACGGGAAAAGCTGAATGTTATTTCAGCTGCCAGGTATATTTTTGGATAGTAAATTTTGTAGACAGTGTTTGTGCAAGAAAAAGTAGAGAACAGAAGACAGCTACTTATGGGCTGTGAAATTTCAGAAAGAGCAGCTGTGAATATTTCTGCTGTACCATGATCTGCAGCGCACACACACACATTTTGAAATACCTGTACTATTTACAGTTGCCAAAAATACAGTGGAATCAAAATAAAATAACTTCATGATCAAAATAAAATTAAGTCAAGGATATAAGGCAATATGAAAAGATCCCCATGTGAATAGCTATGGAAAGTAATGACAGAAGGAGGCGGGAAGTAACAGACCTCATCATCTGCAAGAACTGAAAGAGCGGGGAGTCAAAGTTGACATGATTATTTTGTGTGGTCAAAGAGGTTACCCTTGGATTGAGTTTGGGGAGTATCTAGTGGCTATCTGGATATGTTTCCTAAAGCAAGGTCTGTTAAACTGGTATATACTCCTGAGAAAAGAGGGAGATGCCCCTTAATACTCAGGTCATTTAAAACTAGATTGCAAACTACAGGGAACAATTTTAGACTGGCAGGGGAGAGTAACATGCGACCTAATACTCAACTTTCCATCTCTAGTTACTCTTGCTCTGTGATTTCACATTTCAGGGGACTCGAAACAAGATACCAGTCTTTCACACTGAGGGCACTGGAGATTTATGTGTGGCTTGTTTGCCATTACTCTGAGAGTAAGGCTTTATTTCGGTAGAGGTGTATTGACTCTG